TCATTCCTCTCCATTCCATTATCAACTACATACAAAATAATTAACTGTTCACTGAAAGTATAATATGGAGTAAATCACTAAATTTTAAAAATATAGTGGAACCTTCTAAAAAACAAAACAAAACCAACAAAAAAACCCTAAGTACTATGAATATCCTGGAAGCCTTTATCAGGCTAATATCCTAGAGGAAGAAGTCATATTCTAATTGGAATGTTGGGCTTTAAACACATATTTTTCTTTGAAACAAAAATATTCATATGAGAGTTGATTGTATTGAAACGTTTCTACTTTACAACCAAAAGTATAATTTTTCTACCAGCTGGTTACAGTAGCTCCTCTAAAGCATAAGGTTCTCATTGTTTATCTGCTTAAAGGCTCTCATCCTCAAGGTACAAAAGGGACCTGTAGAGAAATGTGTGGCTCAGTAGCTTTGGGGGTTAATTTAAATTCAGTGTTTAATATCATTCCAATAGTTTACCATGAAACAGAAACCTGAAAAGAGTATCTCCTACCTTACAGAAAAAAAAGAGAGATTAGGAGCTTTTAATATATGAAGCTTGCAATGTATACTTAAGGATGCTTATACTTTGAGTTTAGGATATCCCACCACTATCACCAACAGTACCACCAACACAATCCACTCACACCCTTCCTCACCCTCCCACCCACAAACATGCATACACTGGGCTCAATAAAAGATATTTGACAACCCTTCGGAGTCCTGCAGAGGTGGCTGGGGCAGCACATGGCCCCTCCGAACAGGGCTTCTTAAACGTTTTCCACTCACGACCCACAGTTTAAAACCAGTTTGCGCAAACTAAGTAGTGCATAAAAGGGTTTGAATAGGAATCCTTCTAGGATCAGCCAGACAAATTTGGAGTGAACATTGTGAATAGAGACAAGTTACTAGATACTCATTACTTTTGAGATCATGATGATTGATTGCCAATTCCTTACAAATATTGTATTTTGGAAAGCCCAGAGAAGGAAGACTATGGGAAGAACTGAGATTTCAAACCTTACTAGTAACAATGAGATGCCTGACCTTCAGGATTTTTAAAGCCAACGTTGTTCATTTCATTTTCATTGTAATAAAAAGTTCATTTAATCAATATTTGAATGAGTGGTTCTTTTGGGTCACACAAAATTGCGAGAGATGAGACTATCAGTGGGATGAGGCCTAAGCCATGGAAGATTTATGAGTTATTATAGTTACTGATATCCCTAGACAGAAATCTGAGCTAAGGCAATAAAAAGATAGTTTGGAACTTTGGGGGCTTGGGCAGATTCCTTCCACTTATGCAAAGAAACTTACTACTCAAAGAGGCTTGGTACTGCTCATGTTTCTGAAGTTTCTCAGACTGGTTGGTGGATTAGGGCCCATCTGATTATTTGATGGTTTATCCAGCTATCACATGCCCAAGTAGCTATTTCGCAAACTCCTTAGTGACAATGTAAAGCAAATACTCCTATGAAAAGGGCACCGTTCTTTGCATAGTTCACCCCAAACAAAACAAAAACAAATAAAAAACAGCATTGGTTTGTGCCTTGAAGTTGCTTTTATCAGTTTAGTTCTTCAAAGCAAATGTAAGTAAATAGTGTCTTGATAAACTATTTTGACTGGCAGAACTTTATAGAGCATGATTTTCAATATATTTATTTAAGTATGAGTGTTCTGAAATCTGAAGAGGTTTGATTGACTCAACCAAGACTATATAGCTGCTTAGTGGCCAGTTGAAACTAGAACCCTGTCTTCGAAACTAATGCTTTCTTAAAGATTGCCTGGTTCGCCTTTATGCCTGGGAACTAGACATAGGGGTGCCAAGCATACATCCAGATTATCCACAGCAAATGGTTTAAAAGTCTTGATTTGTTGATCTCTTCTGCCCCTGTGGACCCAGACTAATTTAAAAACATTTTTGAAAGATTAATAATATTTTAGACTAATGTCTTATCTATGGCCTTGCCACCAAATGCTTCTAACCATTAGAAGTATTAAGTATTCAGATCTCCAGAGATTCTGCCCCTTTGGGACTTTCCCTGGGTCAGAGGTGTGTTGGTTGTATACTGAAGTTTGAGTATTCAACACCTTATCTCAACCTCTATGTATCTCCTGATCCCATTGAGGGCTTCATCTTATGCATCCATCTCTGCATGTGAATCTTACCAACAGCCTTGGTCAATCACCCTAGCCTTCCTGCCCCATATCTTTGACTTTTTATTTAGGAAATGATAAACAAACCAATATTCATTGCTATTGGGAAAAAGTGGGACTAGGGGTTGCTAAAGCCAGCTCAAGCCCACTCAAGAGAGTTAACTGTTAAATTTTCAGTGTCAAGCATTTATCCTTCAGGAATTAGCAAATATCACAAATCAGGGTTGAATTGATCATTTTGTTCATTGTATAGACGCAAGAAAATGATGAAGAAAATGTTAATAATGGAAATTAAATGAATAAATCATGCAGATAAAACTCAAAACTAGGTTGGACATTATTTATTGTTTGTTCATTCATTTATTTATTTATTTATTTGTTTGTTTGTTTATGTATTTATGTATTTACATATTTACTTATTTATTTATTTTCTGGAGAGCCAGTTGCTAAACACTTATCAAAACCCTCCTTGGTAGGACAATCTATTGTCCCACGAATGTACTCAGAATCATTCTGATTCAGAGTCAGCTCCTCATAGAATTTCAGGATTGAATTCTATTTTTTTCATACCTTTGTACAGGCTGTCCCCTCCCCTTCCCCACCATGTCTGCAATATGTTCTCTCCTTATCGCTCCCACTGGAAACTCCTAATTTCTTTTAAGAGTCAGGTCAACTATCGGATTTTTTTAAAGATTTTCCTGATTCCCCTTCTCCACCCCTGCACCAATCACTGGATAATTTTTTTGGGATGTAAACCATATGTAACCCCTGTGAAAATGCATGTCTCCCAGTATAATGTAAGCTCCTTGAGATCAAAGATTGTTTTCTTTTTATACTTAGGATAGTGTCTGGTACATAAAAGTTATTTAATAAAGTGTTTTTGATTGATTAATTTAGTATTAGCTGAATAACTTAATAAATATTACTACTGCTAGACTGTAGGAACTACCAAAGGAAACTCAATGTCTCAGAATAAGCCATGCACTAGAAGAAAGATAATAAATAATACCTATTTCTAAAGATTTGTGATTTAATGGGGATAATTCCTCTTTATACATATATAATGCACATTATTTCATCCCTATGTAATCAGTATGAATGAATTTATGTACAGTGATAATAACTCTGTTTACTAGTAGTAGTGGGGGGAGTCAGAAGATCTGAACTCTCATCCCAGTTCTGCTATTTTTTATTTCAGGTCATTTGCCATTTTGGGGCCTTGTATTCTTCAAAAACAAGAGAGGATTGGAACACAAAGCCTCTAAGTCTTGTTCAAACTACTGTTTTAAAGCTTTATGGAGTTAAATTCTTTTGGTCATGATGGCCTTAGTTATTCTAAGAATTTAATTAAAATTTATTTATTAAATTTATTTATAAATAAATTTATAAAAACTATTTTCTTTAGAATTTAATTAAAATAATATTGTACATAGTTTCATTTTTCCCCTCACTTCCATATGGCTTTGCTCAGGGCAATAATTCTGAGTAAATGCATTTACATGTCTTAAAAAAAAAAAGCCTTATATACTAATGCATTGATTGTGGAGTTGTGAACTGATCCAGTCATTCTAGAGAGCAGTCTGGAACTATGCACAAAGGGCAATCAAACTGTGCATACCTTTTGATCCAATGATACCACTAATAGGTCTATATCTCAAAGAAATTATAAAAAACGGTAAAAGGACCTAAACATACAAAAATATTTATGGCAGCTCTTTTTTGGGTGGGAAAGAATTGGAAATTGAAGAAATGCCCATCAATTGGGGAATGGCTGAATAAGTTGTGGTATATAAATGCAATGGAATACTATTGTGTTATAAGAAATAATAAGCAGGTGGATTTCAGAAAAACTTGGAAAGACATGAGCTGATGCTAAGTGAAATGAACGAAACCAGGAGAACATTGTACACAGTAACAACAACATTGTGTGATGATCAACTATGACTAACTCAGTTCTTCTCAGCAACACAATGATCCAAGACAATTTCAAAAGATTCATGATGGAAAATGTTATCTGCATCCAGAGAAAGAACTATGGAGTTTGAATGCAGATCAAAGCATACTATTTTCACTAATTTTAAATGTTTTTTTTTATTTTTTCTGTTTCTTCTTTCACAACATGATTAATGTGGAAATATGTTTAAAATTATTGCACATGTATAACCTATTTCAGAATACTTGCCATCTTGGGAAGGGGAGATAGCAGGGCAGGGGAGATAGCAGGGAGGGAGAAAAATTTGGAACTCAATGTCTTATAAAAATGAATGTTGAAAACTATTTTTACATGCAATTGGAAAAATAAGTGTTATTTACTTAAAATAAATTAAAATGAAATAAAAAAAGGCTTTCCTTAAATATTTGATGCATTAAAATGTAGGACATTGGAGAATTTGGAGTCAATAGACTGCCCACTAAAAAAACATCAACTTCTCCTTCCCTCCACACATACACTGGGTATTTGTGCATTTATATACCCCACGGCTGTTTCTAGGACTTCATTAGTACAAAATTCCCATGAACAACAAGAATAGATGGAATTCAATTTAACTTTGACACTTTATAATTCATGCTAAGCAAACTAACTTTACTAGAAAAGAAAGAGTAGCTACACATTTGTTGTTCAATTCATTCAACCTTAAAGAAATGAGGGATGTTGGCTACAGTTGCATTTTTCTACTAATTTTTTTTTCACTTGGAAAAACAACTTTATCCAATAAGGCGAATGTCGATAAAATTGAAGGATTCCTTTGTTATGACAAACAAAAATGTCTTATTTCTGTAGCTGATGAATGGACTTGTAAATGAACCAGGAATGAAAATGTGAATAGGTATTTGGTAGACTTACCCTTGAATTAACCACTTCCAAGGATATGTTCTGAGGGGCAGCGCTGGGTACTGAAAGAAAAAAACAAAGAAACAAAAAACAAGTAGAGAATGATTACTGGCAAAGTCAAAAAAAAAAAAAACAACACAAAATCCTTTGGAAAGACAGGGATGCATTTGTCATCTAATTATAATTATGCACTTAATTCAGGTGGCACTTCAAAGGTCCCCTGAAGAAATAAAAAGTAACTGCATCTGTTCACTTCTCCCTTTTAGAGTACCAGTAATCCATCTAGGGAGTCTCTGAAACAGTTCATCAAGAATGTGCCTAATGTGACACCAAATACTGCCATTTAATTACAGTTTTCAGCTGATAACCTTCCAATGGAAAGAAATGAAAACATTTGGGAAATTTCTTTGCTTCATTTAAGATGCTGAGCATCTCAAGATCTGCATGCTTTTATGGTGGATTATTTCATTCTAATGGTCACCCGTATTGCTAAATCCTGTTAATACAATTCCTTTTTCTCTCCTAAAATGGGGAAAGGATTCTAAGAAACACAGCCCATATTTTAGTGGTTTGTAACGAAGGAAGTGTGCCAGAGAGATATGCTGGTTTTTAGTAGCATGTTTATAGTCAACTTCTCAATTATTGGGGGGGAAATTTATCTTTTTTTCCTCTTCTTTTAAAGAACTTGTAATCCTTCCTTTCTTCTTTACTCACCTCCTTTTACATACTTCTTTTTTTTCCCCGTATTCTTTTCCTGCATTAGCAGCTACCTTAGGGAACCAGAGGAAGTGTATGTAATAGAGACCTATTGTCTTTCAATAGTTAATGAGTCAATGTCTGAAACATTAAACCATAATTGCATTAGAATCATATTGCAAACCAGTAAATATATAAGCAAACATATAATCTCAGATCTTTTTAGTAATAGCTAAATAGAAAATCCCTAGATTTAACATAATTTTCTCAGTTACTTTCTAGACATTTTAGATTAGTTTCTTTTGATATCATTCACAACTCCTGTTTTTCACTTCAAGTTCTAAAATGAAAAGCTGACACCTCCCTAAATAGCAGATCTCATTTTTTGATATTACAAATGATCTTTATACTTGAAAAAGTGGGTAAAAACTAAATTAGAGAGTATTCTACATTTTGCAAAACATATGTTCACCCCATCCCTAGTGTATAATCCATTCAGTGCAATATATTTTCTCTCAAAAATAGGGCAAGGAAACTACTTAGAAATGCCACTCATGTCATATTTTAGTTGTGTGTACATAAGGCAGGATGCCAGAGACACACACTGGTTTGTAGCAATACAGCAGCTCTTTGAAAAATACATTTAGTCTGTCACTACCAACTGTCATTCTTGACACTTTTCTGTAACTCAAATGATACTAAGACAAATGGGGAAAAATGATTTTTCAAAAGAGTACAAACTTATAAATTATTAAGATTCTAATTGAATCAAAATTCAAGTACTTTTTGATTCCCCTCCTATCTATCCTTAAATACAATATTTTTAAAAAACTACTTTGACATTCTACACTTCAAATATATTTCAACAAGCTCCATTATTTCTATTACACAGTTTAATTCTCCCCTTCCTCTCTGGGAATGTTCTTGCTGAGTACGGAAAAGGGAGACACCATCATTATTCCTTTTGTCATTCCACATTCAATATTTCCTCTCCTTTTCCACCCCATCCTCCAGATAGTGCTTTTTGCGGTTATCAGAGCTCTAACAATAATACTCATCTATGCATGTTAGCTGTGTGACCCAGGGCAAGTCACTTAATCTTGTTTACCTCAGTATCCTCATCTGTTAAATGAGCTGGAGAAGGAATGATATACCACTCCAGTAACCTTGCCAAGAAAACCCCAAATGGGGTCATGAAGAATCCAGCAGGACTGAAATGACTGAACAACAACAATGTATCTTTGACAATGCAGCATTATGGTACTGGAATGGGAGTTGTACCTACAAATGCAGCTCTACACCCAGGAACAGGGAAACAGACTAGTCATAAATGAAGTCCATCAAGTTCTCTGTAGAGGTGGAGCTATCCAGGAAGAACTTAAAGCAAATCTTACAAATATGGAGATGTTTAACCCCTCCCCTCCCCCAAAAAAAAGAAAAAGAAAAAAAAACTTTTTTTGGAGAGTATCTAGAGTATCTAGTTAACTGTCAGGATTGATTAAATTATGATGTCATTTTGTGGACAAAGCCTGAAAACATATAGCTTAAAATTACACTCAAATGAAGTTGAAGTCTTACCATCATTTTTCTTATAAACTTATACAGTTTTATAAAGAGCTTATTAATAATACTTAATATCTCTATCTAAGTACAAAAAAAAAGAAAGAAAATGTTTAAAAAGACTAGTAGTTTCTAAAAACCATAATGGAGTTCTACTCGCAAATAGAAACATAGAATGCGAGCTTCTTGAAGGCAGTGATACTTTTCATTTTTGTCTTTGTATTCCAGTGACTTTATAGTGCCCAGTATCTTCTAATAGTTCTGGCTTCTAATTCTAATAATCTGGCTTCTAGTTGCTTGTTTAATATAAAAATAATTTAGGGTTAGAAATGACTTTCACTTTTCAAAAAGGACACAGAATTTATTAGAACAAATGGAAATATGATTCAGAAGCCTTTTACTAACTATAACTATTACATTAAAATTCTAATATTGGTACCACAAAATAGAAATATGAGAATATTCCAATTTAAACTTCACTATTTCTTCCCAATTTGGTAGATAGGATAGGATCTTGATCCAATAATTCACAGGGAATCATCAATGAGGAAACTCCCTCTACCAAAACAAGATGATAACTTCCCTGCCATTTCTAATCTTGAGAGTTGTCTAGAGAACTTAGGGGGTATGGGACCTGTCAGAATCACAGAATCAGTAGGCTTCAAGGGGCAGAACTTGAACTCAGATGTTCCTGGGTTCAAGATCAGCTCCCTATGATATTATGTTATGCTGTTAAATTTAGTAAGAGGATGAGAAGAGGATGTATGATAAAATGCATTTCCAAAACATGTAAATCATCAATATTTTGATTTCCACTAACAACAAAACCAATAATAATAACCAGAATTTATATCAAACTTTGGGTTTGCAAAACAACATATATATATATATATATATACACATACATATATATATACATATGTTTATACATGTATAGATGTATAAGTATGTATACATGTGCATATATGTATTATAAATGCATATTTACAACAAAGCAAGTTGTGAATTAGGTGTTATCATCCCCATTTTACAACCAAGGAAACTAAGGCTGGAAAAATTATTTGCCCACAGTCACAGAGCTCATTTAGTGTCTGAACGCAGGTCTTCCTGACTTAGTCTGCATTTTGCCCACCATGCCAACTAGCTGCCTCTCTATTCTACTCTACTTTTCTTCCTGAATATAACCTGACCTTATCAGCTAGTCTATATTTGACCTGACTTTCACTCATATTAATTTCTTATTATATCTAATTATTAATCTTTACTTATTCCTTTATAACCACTTGTTGACATTGAAATAAATATTAAAGGCATAACTTTATTACAGGCACTGAAGTCCTAGTGGGTAATCAGATTTTTGAGATCATAACATTCCCTATATAGGCCTCGAATGCCACTTAGCTTGTGGTTAAAGTTTATACTCATACTTATAAAAATCTATTAGTTTCTCATCTGTGGAAGGTTGAGAATCTAGACGGCCAAGCATGATTTCTCTTCTTTATACTGCCAGATCTCAAAAAGGCTTGGGAATATTTTGCTTCAAGGAATAAGATGCAAATATCATGGCATGATAAAGGCATTAAAAACCATAACAAGCCAATGTGTTTTCCCTGCATGATTATCATCTAGACTTCTAAAGGGCAAGCACTTAATCTATTTTTTTAATCTATCGAAGCTGGCAGTACGCTGCCTTTGAATATAAGATGAAAGCATATTCAATTCCAGGGGTGGGCCTGTGGCCTTGAGGCCACATGTGACCTTCTAGGCCCTTGTATGTGGCCTTTTGACTGAGTCCAAGTTTTACAAGGGGATTTGTTCTGTAAAACTTGGACTCAGTCAAAGGGCCACACTTGAGGACTTAGAGGGTCACATGTGGCCTTGAGGTTGCAGGTTCCTCACACCTGAATTAGAACATATTTCAAACTAAATTCTCCCTACCATTTGTCTACCCTGATTTAAAGAAGGTAAAATAGATAAAAGATGGTAAAATTGGTCATATTGTGTGTATGCATATGCGTGCACATGTGTGTGCATGTTTGGTAGGGAGGGGGATCGCAATACCTATCTGGCCTTATCTTTAATAGCACTCTTTAAATGTCAGCTTTAACTGCAGAAAGGCAGAGGGGAAGGACCTGGCTCAGTGCTTTGCTCTTCAGCATGTGAAGTTATTCATCATTTACCAAATGGTTCATTAAAGATGTCTAGTATGGAAACTCCCCTCAATATGGCAGAACAAAATAGTTTGAAATGTGTTCTGATGGGATGCTTTGTTGTTTTGAAGGGGGATCTAATTCTCAGATTAAGAAACAAATACCGGTGCTCATAGGGACTTTAAGTCATTCCCTAAAAATGGACTTGGTGTCATATACACCCAGGTGGCATGTTTGGGAGTATTTTAGGTTCTATACTTAGTGTCTTTGTTAAAGAAAATATGAGTGTCATTGGACACACTAGCATCTCAAGATACTTTCAGGTCTGCAGACACTCTCACTTACTGAATCTCAGGGTAGCTTCCTGTATTTATCCTGCTCTGAAAGAATTGTGTTTGTTTATTTTGTTGCTCTTAGATGAAACTATAGCATTGTCTTTCATAATTATTAATTGATGGATAACTTCTCTGAATGATATCTTTGAAGTCAATCTGGAACCTGATTTACTACAAACATTGGCTTCTCAGTCTAGAGTAGACCAGTAGAAATTGGACATATTAGGTCACTGTTGGCTTAGGAGACCAAGGATATTGAAGAGTTAATTATAAGAAGACATTTTTACCTACAAGAATCACAAAACAATTAAAACAGCAATGAAAGTTTAACTGGGTGGAAACTTTTAAAAGCACACTATCAGAGAAGAAAGAAAGATTCTGTGGTAGAGAATTCAATTGGACAAACATACTGTTTTCCAGTAGACTCTTCTCAAAACCTGCCAAATTTCACTCTTTCTCTTTCCAGAGTTACACATTGGAAGGAGAAAGAAACAAGATGTTACAAGAACAGAGATACTATTAGAATTAGCTTGTACTTAGCTATAATCAGCACAGGCTCACAAAGAAAAGGCCCTGTGGCTGTGCTTAAATGGTGTTATTCAGTAATTTTCAGTTCTGTCTGATTCTTTGTGAACCCATTTGGGGTTTTCTTGACAAAAATACTCAGGTGGTTTTCTATTTCCTTCTCTAGCTCATTTTACAGATGAGAAAACTGAGGCAAGTGACTTGCCCAGGGTCACACAGTTAGCATGTGTCTGAGGCCAGATTTGAACTCAGGAAAATGAGTCTTCCTGACTCCAGGCCTGGTACTCTATCCACTGTGCCACCTACCTGCCCTCAACCTCTTATTTTTATTCAGTTTAGGATGACTGATTGGTTGTAAATTAATTCAGCCAAAACTCATGTCTATAGATTAGGTATAACCTAAGACTTGTGTAGCCATTTAGATCAGCATTTTTTCAGTAATAAAAGCAGTTTGCATCCATGTTTGCTGGTATGGAGTAGTATCTGATTCTGAAAGCTTTTTTCTCTAGTGACATCCTAGTTATTCCTAAAGAGTTGAAACATTTCCAAAGGATAATTTTTTGGCTAATGAGAAATAATCTATCTTTCTCACTTATGACATTTAAAACCAAAGTGGAGAACAGGGCCACAGTACTACAGTTCAGAGTGTGAATTAAATCTACATAAATTATGTAAAATATTCATTTTCACTTGTTTTCTTTTGTTTTTATAATTATAAGTGTGAAGTAATTTATTCTGCCAAGATTCACTCTGTACAGCAAATGATAAGAGAATTAGATGGATGGGCATAAGAATCACTTTAAAAATAATATTGAAGAGGTGTCAAATATGAAATAATAATTTTTTAAAGTTAGAGCTGCAAATGAGCCAGAATCTGCAATGCAAATAGTATCATGAAAGGGGGTTCAGGGAACATGAGTCTATCATCCATTTCAATAACATGCTTTACTTCACATGGCATCTTTTCACTTTGTTTAATGATACACGTCCCTTCCCTTGCTCTATTGACAAGCTATGAAGTATGTCTACCCGTATCCGTATGGCCAGGTTTAAGAAATACGGGTTAGTAAGGCAACAAGAAGTCAATGTGTCTTCTTTTTCTTCATTTTTTTAACTAAACGGATCAATAAGTCATAGCATCACATAAAGCATAGCCACTTTAGGAAGTAATGAGGTTTTTAGAATCTTTACAACAGCATTTCTCGATCAACTCTTTTTTCCTCATCTTCTCACATCTTAAACTATGTTCCTCTACTTTCGTTTCACATTAAGTTTTTAAATATTCTCTTGCCTCTAGTTCTCTTCTTTCTTTGAACAGTAACATATATATATATGCATTATATATATATATATATATCAGATCAATTTCTCTCTTTTTCTCGTTTGTAGGATTTAAGGAAATCTCCCTTTGTTGAGTTTCTCTGGCCCTATGTAATCTGTAAACATACTTGATATACCTTAACCTATTCCATTTTGTTTCCCAAATCTAACTCTTCTAAATCTACAGGTATTTTCCATGGATTTTTATCATTCCTAATTGAAGAGACAAACTCAGCCAGGAATTGGCTGGGTGATTTCTCTTTTTTACCACCTTTCTTTTTTTACCTTTCATAAAAAATAATTAATAAATAAAAAAGAATACACCAAGCATGCTAAATCAAATTACCTTCCAAGAACACTATTCTTTTTTCATATTTTTTAATTTTTTTTTTTAGATAAGGGAAAAAATGAAATTGAGATCTCAGCAAACACTAAAATTTATAGACTTCCTAATACACTATGGTCTCAGTGTATGATTTTAAACTTTTAAATTGTTTATGTATTTTAATATCTCCTTCATATCCAATTATATACTCTTCTTCCCTGTCCCCTATCCAGTGAACCATCCCTGTAACAAAGTAACAAATGATACAAAAGAAGAGGAAAAAATATTTCAGCAAAATGAAAGAGCCCATTCACTGAGTCTGACAGTAAATGAATGAATGAATAAAAAAAGTATTTATTAAACAACTACTATTATATGCACCATCTATGATTCTGGGGTCTGCAAGTGCAACCAAAAAAAAGTGAAACAGTTCATGTATTCAAGTAACTTACAATATAAGGGAGATAACACAAATAGGGGAAGTTGTGGCCAAGGAAGAGAGCTTTTGTTTGGGGAATCATGGAAAAATTAGATGGAGTCATACAGCAGTCCATTATAATGTCCTTTCTACATTTTTTTCATCTCTTCATTAGGGACAAGCTTAAGCATTACAATTATAGAGTGTTAAGTTAATTCTAACATTTAATGGAAATACGGTTGAAGAGAGCCCCAATCTTCTTTTAATTTTTATGTGCACTTTGGAAAGGACCGTAGAATCATAGATTTAGAGGTAGAAGGGAACTCAGAAGCCATCTCATCCAAATATCTCATTTTACAGATGAGGAAACTGAGGCTTAGAGATGTTAGGGACTTGTCCAGGGTCACACAGTTAATGAGTGCCAGAGGTAGTATTTGAACCCAGATCTTCCTGACTTGAATTTCAGTATTCTATCCACTAGACAGTAAAGAGTTTAAACAAGATTTGTTATAAATGGTTCTACCATAATTACGTAAGTTTACTTCTTTTATATTAACATTTAAAATATATGGTTTTCTTACTTCTAACTTACCATCAGAAAGTGTCACGACTGTGAGATCATCGGTGGATACCCCTGGCCCATATCGATTATAAGCCAGAAAGCGAAGGGTATACTCTGTAAATTTTTTCAACCCTTCTAGCTTGTAAGACAGTCCATCAACCTCTATATTCTGGGAAGATAAAAAAAGGCAGAAATTGTTATTAAGAGGAACATTAAAGCAGATATGGCAGTGATTCTGTGGAATAAATTTATATTAGACTTTTGCTCACCAAACTACACAGTTTAAATCCTTATTTGAGTAGCTGTAAAAGGTAACTTGTAACATAGACTTCCTGACTGAAGCACCGTCCTCTGTAGTCTCCTGCTAATGTATCACTATACTATTTTACAGTCATTAAGTTCCAATTTACTTTACACTACACAATACATTTAGTGGGTTTTTTTCTCCATAAATTGACTCAACACCAGAAAGCATATTACTAACTCAATGGGAAGAGATCTGTTTCTGTACTACAGAAAGAATTAGACCTTATGGAAAAAAAAAGATTCCACTTTTATTTATTACTTAAACATAAACAGAAAGTGAGCACACAATATTGAGTGACATTATACACATTTTTTGTTTGAAATATTCAGAATTCTATGATGGAGGTCAGTATTGTTTTCCTATTATAGCTGAGGTGTTGAAGGTCACCACATAGGGTCATAAACTTAGAGCTAGAGGAGCCTTTTAAAAGTTGTTGATTCTAATGCCTTCATTTTACAGATGAAGAAACTGAGGCACAGAGAAGTTAAATCACATGCCCAGGCTAGTAAATATCTAAGTTAGGATTCAAGCATAGGTCTTCCTCATTCTAAATGTAGCACTTATTCCACTGTATCACTGACCTTCCTCAGCAAACAAGTGGCACCACTTCAAAGTCCATTTTAAATCAGTTTGGGATGGAGATCCAAGTAGCTCATGAGTGGCAGATAACTTCATCTCAAAATTGTACATGTTTGTCATGATGACCCTGAGTCATCTAGGTCCTACTTGAGGAAGCAATAAATCATGTAACATATCATAAGAAGTTTCAATTACCAATGGGCAATATTAAAATGAAGTATTATACCTGTTGTGATGTAAACTGGGAAAGTTAGGTTTTATAATATTTTAATTCTTTAAAAAAACTCAGTGGTTAGGTATTTGGTTTAAGTGATTAAAATTACCAGATGTGAGGATATCATACACATAAAGCTTCAAGGACCATCTTTAGTTGAGCTACCACAAAGTCATGTGGGTAGAGGATGACAATCAGTCACCAAGTTTTTATTGAGTACTTACCAGGTGCCAGGCACTGTACTATGTAACGGGCATACAAATAAAGGGGAAAAACAAAACAAAAACATTTCTGCCCTCAAGGAACTTGATTCTAATGAGGGAGAGAATATGTGTATACAAGATTTATACAGAGTTGATGTGAAATATTCAGAGGAGGGAACGCATTAGCAAATGGGGGGTGGGGGGACTTCCTTAAGGTGAGATCTGAGTAGTCTTGAAGAAATCCAAGGAAGTTAGGATGTAGAAATGAGGAGACATGTCAGGAACATTTCCAGCATGTGGAACAATGACTGAGAAGTCACAGAGATGGATGAGTCATGTGCAAGAAGAATCAAGTGGGCAAGGAGCTAGATTATATAATGTGTAGGAGACTGAAGTGCAAGAATCTAGGAAAGGTATTAAGTGACCAAGTTAGGAAGAGCTTTAAAGGGCAGAAGTTTTTAAGAGCTTTAAAAGAGGATTTATATTTGATCCTGGAAGCAATAGGGAGTTAATGGAGTTTGTTAAATAGTGGAACAAAATGGTCAGATCTACAATTTAGAAAAGTCACCTTAGCAGTTGGGTATAGAAGGTAAATTCAAATGGGCCAAAACTTGAGGCAGGAAGACCAGTTGGAAGGCCATTGGTATAGTCTAGCAGAAAAGTGATGAGGGCCTTAACTAGGTGACGACTATGTGAGTGGAGAGCGGGGACATAGACAAGAGATGTGACAGTAGAAATGACAAGATTTGGCAATAGATTTTATACATGCAAAGTGCATTTGAGGATTTAAGGATATCATTGAGTTTGCAGGCTTGGGTGACTGGGAGGATAGTATTGTATTTGACAATAATAGGGAGGTTTGAAAGCAGGGAGGTTTTGGAGGAAAGATAATGAATTCTGTTTTATTCTTGTTAAATTTAAGATGTCTACAGGACATCCAATTGGTACCATGGGATTGAAAATCAGGAGAAAGATTAGGGCTAGAGACAGAGATTTGTATATCATCTATATAGATCTGATAATTAGATCCAGGGGACCTGATAAGATCCCCAAGTTAGAGATCGAAAACAACAACAACAACAAAAAAGTCCAGGGCTGAGGAGGAGAGTCTCAGCAAACATGCATGGTTAATAGGCATGACAAAGATTATGATTCAGCAAAGGAGAATAAGAAGGAAAGATTAGACAAATAGGGGCTTTAACTTCTCTTGAAAAATTCTTAATTGTTTTCTAAAATGGCTGGAACAAGTCACTGCTCTCCCAGCTCTGAATTAGGCTTTTTTTCCTCCCACAGTTCCACCTACACTATTTTTCCCATCTTTTACTCTTTTGTGAATTTTAGGAGTATGAGGTAATATACTGAAGTTATTTTAATTTTTATTTCTATAATTGTAAATGATTTTGAGTAATTTTCAGCTGGTTGTGAATCATTATGTTTCTTAATTTGAAAACTGTTTTTATATTTTGTCCACATATTTATAGGGAAATGGCTTTTAATTTTATAGACCCCTTCACATAGAAAATAATTAGAAATGAAACTAGCTTTCAGGAGGCTGACACTGATGAAGACAGTGACCTCTGTATTAATATTTCTATATTCCAAGATGCCATATAAATGTTAACTTTCATTATTATTTCCCAGTACCTATAGCTGCTAACATATAGATGCTTACATAAATTACTCTTATTTCCTACACCACCCTGCCTTTCAAGATATGTACACATCTCCCATAGAGTTATGTCTATACATCTCTAAATGTGTATTATACACACACATATTTTCATTTTTTTAAAATGATCTTTAGAAGGCCTAGATCTACACCAAGATTTTATAATTCCCCACTTCCTGTGTGAATCCAACAGCAACAATTATCTGTTTACCATGTAAGAAAATTGGCATCTCCTATATTGACTTCATTCTAATGCCCATTTACCTCCCCAGCTCCCTGTGTTCCAACAACCTAGAATCCAATTAAATTACTCAAACTTTCAATAACAAATATTTTAAAATTAATCAACTATCCACTTAATTCGCTCACTTGGACTAAACACTCTGCTCAACTGTATGAAGCTTCTGGAAGATTTTCTTACACATTTTTCCAGTGCAGGCACATCAGTGCATGCAGAGTTATGATGCATTTTGTTGCCTACCTGTTCTTTTCCAGTAGAAGCCTCAGTACAGAACAATCTGTAACCTTGGACTGGACCATTTGCATAGGCAGGGGGTTCCCAGGAAATAAGAATTGAGGTAGGTGAGGTAGATATAGCTTGCAGGTTTTCAACTGGCCCTGGGACTTGCACTGTAGGAAAAAAATGACCAATGTAAGAATTTCTCATTCCTCAAAAAAAAAAAAAAAAAGAAAGACACAAAGTTTTCTGGTACATTATAATGTATATGTATTTGATATATACACGCATGTATGTGGGTATGTGTGTGTGTGTTTGTGTGTGTAACTGCACTTTTAAGAAGTATCTGTGCTGTAAGTTTGTAAGTTACTAAATATTTAACATAAAGCTATAGAATCATAACATTTTAGGATGGGGAAGAACCTTGGAGACTGTTTTCTCCAGCCCTCTTATTTTTGCAATTGAAAAAACAAAAGCCAAGAAGTAAAGCTATTCGCTTAATGTCATATAGGTGGATGCGGCTGAGGCTTAGACTGCAGAACCAAGTTTTCCTAACACCTAGTTTGTTGTGTTTCTCACCATATCACATTGACTTTAAAGTCCAGGAACTAACTAATTAGTGTTAGAGAAGATCTATTCAGAAATGTTATGAATCAGGATTTTTATTTATATGTCTAACATAAACTATTAGAGGTAGCATGGCCTAATGGCCAGAGCCAGCCTTCATGTCAGAATTACCTGGGTTCAAGTCCAGCCTTCTGACACATACTATCTGTGTGATCTAAGGTAAGTCTCTCATCCTCTCAGTGCCCTAAACAATCCTCTAAGACTGTTGCTGAGTTGCTTAAACTCAGAGGGTTTCTTCACTGGGCAGCTCCCTGAACCAAAGAAATCACAGGTCGTGACTCCCTTCTACTCCTCCTCCCAAGATTACATACATTTAAACTGTGAAATAAGCACGTTCAAGGACATTTTTATAATCTGCAATCATTCTTATATGCTAGCACTGGAAATGGCAGGTGTACTGCTATAAATTACAAGTATAAATTATTATTATTACTTATTGTTACTGACAGCCTTAATCTTATCTAGACCAAACAGATGCTTAACCTTTGTAGTAGATATGAAAACAGAATCCTAATTTATGAATGTAAGTGGTCTTTTGTTAGTTAAATATTTTGCTGAATATTCTTGTTTAGATTGATTCTGACGTTACACGTCCACCACTTGAAAGAAGAAATTTACTAGAGGATTCCTTGAAGGTTTTCATCTCTACAGCTTCCCCTCAACCATTGGTTTTCATAATGTCTTCCACGGAATTAGCCTGTTTGATAGGCAGTTATTGCTTCCACACTGTGGGGGTTAGGTGTGTGATGACCCTATGATCTGGAAAATCTGCGTAAAAAAGTTTTTGGCCCTCCCTTTGTATTAGGGAAGTCTATTTTTTTTTCCTTTTTCTTTTATGGGGTGTTTACAGTAACATTGTAAAATTTGGGTTAAGTATTTGTTCATGGGCTCTGTGTCATCCGCTGGCCTTCATGTGCTTTCTGTGGCTTCCACAAAACTCCGAAAAAAAATCCCATAATATAGGAAAACTTCCGTGATGTATCAAAACTATAATGCAAAAGTCACAATGTGGAAGGGATAGCTGTATTGCTATGTTGGTTTTTTTTTTAAACACTTGTTTCCACTTGAATGAAATTCTTACTTTGCATCACCATCAAGGCCATCTACAATATCAAATCAAGGACTGGGATTCATGGATATAAAACACAATGCATATGGTCATCTACAACATACACACACACACGTGCACACACATAGCTCATAGACTCAGACACATACATACCCACACAACCCTCAAGAATGTCTGTCTTTTGACAGTGTAGGGTTTTCACCCTACAAGATTATCTGGCCCATGGTATTCTTCTAGTAGAAGAGGGTTGCCCTTCTGAGACACTAATCTTTGACCTCTCCCCCAGAGCAATTGGAAGGAGTCAGGGCAATGGTGTCTCACCTCCATATAGTTTTCTTTTTCAAATTAGATTTTATGTCATTGTTAATATAAAAAAAAAACATTCCATTTGAAGGACGAGACAAAAAGAAAATAGTTCATATAGACACTAGTGCTACTCATTTAATAATAGGATTAAGATGCTGGAATATAAAATTTTTTTAAAAGTGTCCACACATAATTTTCAAGAGAAGAGAGATTTCAAGCTCCTTCCCTACAGCTACCTTCAAGGGATCAACACAAAGACTTCAAAGATAAATTGTTGCAGCTTTTGACTTCCGACCAAAGTTGTTAACAAGAAAAGAGGGGATATGGAGTTGCAGGAATGGGCTAGATCAGGAGCTTCACTGCAGTATGGAAATGCCTTACAAATCCCACCTCCAGGGTTCACCAGACTACAGATTTATACAGCTGGGATTTGTATTCCATTTTAAATTTTACAAAGTACTTTACAAAAAAGATCCCATTTTATCTTCACAATTACAACAGGAAGGTGCTATTTGGATACTCATTTTACAAATGAGGAAACTGAGGCTGAAAGAAATTAAATGAGACTGAAGGCTTCCTGATTCCAAGTCCAACTCTCAGTTACTGTACCATCTAGTTGCCTATACAGGTGGCTTTCATGTTAACCACTAGTGTTTTGATACAGTTATATCAGCAAAAGGGTGGTCTATCCTACTGGAAGCCCAACTTGAACCCCGATGTACAGTCATTTGCCCTTATGCCCTATACCCCTGGAAAGGGTAGAAAGGGGAGAAGTAGCAGGCAGTGTAGTCCTGGAGAAAGTTTTAGTTGTGGTCATCTCTCTTGATCTCCAGAACACAAAGGCAATCCAAGAGGAGAAGGATGAGAACCAGGAGATGGGTATGTTGCCATATGTGAACAAATCCTGGGGCCAACTCAAGGAAAGACAGGAACCTACAGGATGGAATTAGGATTAGAAGGTGAGGCCAGGAGGACTACCAGGAGAAGAAGCCTACCCCTCAAAACTCCAGGACTCTGAGGAAAAACCCCAGTCAGAGAGCTCTAGTTAAAATACTTCCATTAACCAAACATAACACCAGCCACATACTCAGTTTTTATAGTATGATTAAATCCTCCACACAGGGTAAAGGAAAAAAGATAAAATAAACCAAGGCAAGGATGTGAAACATAAATTACCTATTTCAATCATATGTTGAATGAAAGAATGAGCCAAGAGTTTGACTCTTTGTATGGGGTATGTATTTGTTTGTGGGATGGAATTATTGGTCACTGAAATTTAATTTTCAACAGCATTTATGGTTTTGAAAATATAATTGTAGCAAAGCAGAAACAAAATAAAACTAAAATAGAAGGAAAGGACCATAAAGATGATTTGATGAAACCCTCTCATTTTATCAATGTCACAAAGGTAGTAAAGAACCAAACTACCATTTAAATATACTGTTTGATTTCAAATCCAGTCCTCTTTACACCTTCTCTATTTTGAAGAATTTGAATGGGATCCCATCATATGAAGCTAGTCAACACTTTCAAAATCTTTTCACTTAATTACCTGAACACTGAGGACAACAGTTCACCTTTATAGCAACCACAAGACCTAGAGCAGTGATTTGCACATAACATCAGAGGGACAACAAAGGTCTTCTAGTACACATTCTCTCCTTCCCTGCTTTATTTCAGAGTGGAAGAAACTGAGGCCCAGGGAGTGTATGTAAATTTTCTAAAGTCACACACACATAGGTAGTAAGTAGCATAGCTGGGATTTGAACTCATTTCTCCCAATTTCAAATCCAGCACACTTTTTATGGCAACATGGGGCTTAATAAACATTAGTTGAGTGAAGGAATCGTTTACAGCAGAGGTTGTCAAACTATGGACTAAAGGCCAAATCTGGACCACTCCTCTGTTTTGGCAGGGACCTTGAACTAAGAATGGTTTGATTTGGCCTGCAGGCCATAGTTTGCTGATCCTAAAATAATGTGATTGTAAATTATACCAGTGTTACTTATAGTAATACTGTGCATGCACTCTCTTCTCTCCGTTTTTCAACCCCTTCCATTTTTTTTTCAAGTGATAGAACAATTACCCATCAAGATCTGAGTTGGAATATTTACAGGTATTCAGACTCATTTTCTTTTCCAAGTCTGTGGATATCTGGCAGGATATAAACAATTTGGAAATTAATGGCTCCATGAAATTATTCTATAAGAACAATGCTATATGTTCTAGTGCATAATTAATTAATTTATATGTTTACACATGAATGTGTCAGAAGTACAGTCCAACAGGGAGGATGAATTAGCAAATTATTAATTAGGACTCATAGTGCACTTCTATTGTCAACCTGGCCATCTGTTTCTCCTGTCTAAGGTTGTCTACTTTGATCTTGGTCATTATTACCTGTCAGCAAATGCTACTATGTGCTAATTTCCAGAGGTCCAGAATTTTACAAATCCATAGGTGAACTTTGCTGCACAGGCCATTTAATCATAGCATTTGAGAATTGGAAAAGACCTTAGAGAGCTAACCTTCTAACAAATGCAGGGCCCCTTCTGCAGCATTTCTGACAGGTGTCAACGCTTGTACTTTCTTCTGCCACCCACAATCAACCCACAGGTTTTTAATTAGGCTGTCATTCATGAATGTGTTTTCTTCTTCCATGCTGTAGACACTAGTCTATACAGAGTGGAACTCATGTGTGTGGGGGGGGTGGGAACAGGGGCACGCATGCACGCAAATGTAGGTTTAGATCTACCCTTATTTATATGTGCACAGGGCAGGGAGGTGGCAAAGTGAATAGTGTACTGGGCCTGGAGTCAGCAAGACTCATCTTCCTGAGTTCAGATCTGGCCTCACCTACTAGCTGTGTGACCCTGGGCAAATTTAACCCTGCTTGCCTCCATATTCTCATCTGTGAAATGAGCTGGAGAAGAAAATGGCAAACCACTCCAGTATCTTTGCCAAAAAAAAAATGGTGTCACAAATAGTCAGACATATGTTGGACAATAATTTTCTGGCAAACTACATCTAACTTTTCCTCATTTTTATAGAAGTTAACTATTCAATTAATGGAAAGATTTCTGAATAGATGCATAGTTCAGGGAAGTAACCTATCAACCACTCTCATTCCAAACAGCCATCTTCTTAATATCCAAACAACCTTACAGAAAG